AGAGAGAGAGAGAGAGAGAGAGAGCGAGAGACAGTACTGAGAGAGAGCTGGTGGGAACTTCTGCTCATTGTGAGAAGAAGTTTTGAATAAACTGTCAGAGCAGCGACAGCCCTATATATAGTTCAAGTTCAAGTTAAGTTTATTGTCATTCACGTCACTTGTTGTACATGAGGTGGAATGAAATTATGTACTCAGGGTTCTAGTTATACCCAGAAATATCAAAATATAAAGTGAGAAAAGAAACAGTATATAAGGATCTAAGATAAACGCTAAACACTAATAATGTAAAACAATACGGCGTAAAAACAGCAGCCTGAACATGAGTCTGTGGGGAGCAGATGTGTATGAATCTGAATACCTATATAGGGGAGGACCCTGCCCTCCTTGACACTGACAGGCTTATTTCCCGGCTGGTGTAATGTAATAGGAGCTTCTGATGAGGTCACGCCGAGGGCGTTCCCAATGTGAGGCATGAAACGAATGCTATGAAACCGAACCTCCGGCAGAACCAGGCTCAGGACGAGCGTCCGTCTGTTTCGACCGGCTGGGTTTGAGAGGACAGGAAGTAGAAACAGACAAACACAGAATGGCAGGTCCAGGGGTAAAAGAAGAGGTTAAAGACCCACCAGGCTGGTTGTTGAAGTCGAGGATACGGTGGTGTGACTGCAGGAGGTCTGGATTCGATGAAGAGAGGTTTCCACTGACCGGCAGGGCTGGAGGGATTTGTTTGGACTGCTTCATCCCGACTATGCTGTCGTCCTGTGATTGGCCGACGCAAACGTCACTATGGAAACAAGACAGAGGAGCAAAGTGAGCAGTTCTGTCAACAACTAGCAGAGGGCAGCATCCGTGTTGGATAACTGGATAGGCCTGACTGTAAAATACACAGAACATATTTTAAAATCAGTTTCTATCTGAATGACTGATGTGGAGCTCAGGCTAAACGACCTGACCACACGGAGAGCTTAATTACACCCTGACTGCTGACTGGAGTAAGGCTTCTTACTTGTACGGTTTGGGGGGCAGGATGCTGGTGAGCGTCTTGTCAAAGATCTTTTTCAGTTTGTTGCGCCCGCCGACTGTGTTGGTCTTGGCCTTCTTGCTGACTTTCTCCAGACCCATGACCTGCTCCACGTCCACAGCCAGGTCCGGTATAGAGTAGCGGCTGGCCTTCTTGATGTCTCCAATTTTTGGCAGGTGGGGTGCCCCGTTCTTCCTGTCGTGTTCCTCATCCACATCCAAGTCGTGCTCGTGCTCCGGCCGCGTTAACAGCTCTTTAAAAACTGGATAAAAATAACAGACGAGCGTTAAACCTTTAACAAGAGTTCAACTGAGTTTACTGACATTTCCAGAATAAAAGACAGAAGAAGAACGTGATGATTACCTAAAAGATTTGTCTTCACAGTAATGGACAGGTGGGTGTTGTTCTTAAGAATCTCGTTGGCTTTGCAGAGCTGGACATTTTCAAAGTTCTGCCCATTGACCTCCAGGATCTGCAGAAATCAACGGCAGTTTAGGGCCAACGTAACACCAGACACGAGTCTGAAACTGGACGACACTAAATGTCACAACTGCAAAATAAAGTAACTCCAAACTGCATGTTTTTATCACATGACCAAGAGGGAATAAAACTTGAGACCAAAATGTCAGACGGTGTAGAGAAAGGGTGGCAAGTATTTTTTCTAAAGGGCCAAATCAAAATATTTAAATCAACAGAAAAGCTGCTTAGAGAATTGCGAAATACATTTTTATTAAGACACACAATCTTAATAAATAAATACAAAATCAGGCTTTTTCTTGCTGTAGCGCAGTTAGCACGCTCAATAAAAATGTCCCCCAAATACACTGTAGCAATATACGACATACTTTCTGTAAAATGGCTCTTGTGACAATATATTAGACAAAATATGAGGAAAAAGTTTTATATTTGAGTTTTGGAGTCTTTAAGGTTCAGTTTAGAAACAACAGTTGAAAAAAAAAAAAAACAGTCTTATTCTAATGTATTGATCCAAGAGGTTTAATTTAAACTTTCTTGAGTTTCAATCATAAATGTTTTCATAAACTTTAAATAAAAGTCGTTTTCTTTTCAATTAAGAGTTTTTGGGGGCCTGATGGAGATTATTCAAGGGCCACTTTTAGCCCTCAGGCTGTTTGTTGCCCAGGCCTGGTGTAGAGAGTGGGTCCTATCCATGACCTGGACAGAAGAGATGGGGGAGGGAGTTTTATCTCTTGTCTGGAAGAAGCGTCACTTTAAATCAGAGATAAATTAAATAGAGAATTGAGCAAACGCTGCTCTCACCCAGACTCTGAGCTGGTGAGCTGGACTGATTTACTGGATGTTGCACATCTGTCTGAACATGTGTGGGTGTAAACAAAAGGTGCTTGAAATGAAAGAAGAGATGGAGGTGCAGTGTCTTGTTGTATTTGTGTGCCTGACAACACTGAGCGCCGACGGGAGGAAGTTTAATAAAATTAGTGAAACATTACAACTCAGTCCCTTCAAGTTTTTAAAAATAAAATCTGAGGATTATCACAAAGCAGAAAAAAAAAATCACTTTCAGAAACAGGATCAGTAAAGAATAAAACTTTAAAGCCCTAATGATACGGTCATACAATCATTTCAGTCCTCAGTATTTCTGTGAAACAGCTGCTCACACTTTTGATTTTAGAACTGACTGAAGTTCTCTTTAATAGAAATATACATTAGAAATAAACTCTATGCAGCCTTTAATACTGTGTGACGTGATACTTATGTATTTTTGTCTCTTTCCGCTGCTCGAGAGTGGATTTGGCAGTTGTTTTACACCGGACGCCCTTCCTGATGCAATCAAAGACCAGAGCTACCACAGCCCTCTGTGTGGAGCAGAGAGCTGCCATCAGGGCCGTGGATGGGAGGCTCACAGGACCAGAGTGGAGCAAACGGAGGCAGATGTGGGGGGTTCACCTTTTCCCACCCACATTCTGATGTTACAGTCAGCAGGAGGATTCAAACCAGTGACCTTCTGATCACAAGTTCACTTCTCAAACCTCTGCAACACCACTTGATGATGATTTATCTCATAAAATTAGTTATAAATCGGTTTATTATGTTTAAATCTTTTGAGCGGACGGCACAGTGGCACAGTTGGTAGAGTTGCCGCCTCTCAGAGAGAAGGCCGCTGGTTCAAATCCTGGTCTTGGACCTTTCTGGGTGGAGTTTGCATGTTCTCTCCGTGCAGCGTGTTTTTTCTCCAGGTACTCCAGTTTCCTCCCACAGACCAAAAACATGCATGTTAGACTGATTGGTAACTCTAAATTGTCTCTAGGTGAGAGAGAGAGAACGGTTGTTTGTCTCGTTTGTCTCTATGTGTCCCTGTGATGGACTAGAGACCTGTCCAGGTGTCTCCTGCCTCTCCCACAGTGATGGCTGGACATGAGCACCAGTGAGACCCCCGACCCGAAAAGGAAAAACGGGCAAAGATAATGGATGGATGGATGGATGGATGGATGGATGGATGGATGGATGAATGGATGGATGGATGGATAGATGGATGGATGGATGGATGGATGGATGGATGGGAGCCTTGAATTTTTTCTTCCTCCAAGGCCAGCATGAGAAGTTTGAGACCTGCTGTGTTGTCTGGTCTGCAGCTCATGGTTCTATGACAAATGACTCAGATTAACACTAAAGCTCTGAATTAGAGGGATGATCGTGACTGAAGCAGTAAAACGTGCACGTGTGAGCAGTGTGTCAGTAAATTCTTCCAAGGCAGCCAGCTCCTTGGCTTCTTTTGGAGGAAACAGCTGCAGTGGATGTTTGGAGTCGAGAGGGCTTAACGCACATGCAGACACCCTCAAGATGGTTTTGAGGATTAAAAGAATTTGCTTCAAGCTGAGAAGCCTGCAGAGTGAAAGTGGTTGAGAAGTTGTGAGGGAAAAAAGTCGACACCGGGTGCAAGAAGCTGCTGGCAAAGTTAATTTAATACTTCTCCAAAGAACCATTTAACGCTAGTTAGATCAAAATGCAAAACCAATTCCACCACAAAAAATGAGCTTCAACTGGAAAAAAAGATCAAATTTAGAGCTGGTCTGTGAACCAACTGAGTGACTCTCCTTCACAGTTGCAACAGAAAAGATTTAAAGCACTTTGGAGCTGGCTGGGAGGCAAAATAAAATAAATACAATTATACAAGTCTAACAAAAACTGCACAACGTTGTTTTCTTCAAAGGTAATTCAACAACGTCTCCTAAAGTAAAAGTTACCTGATCTCCACGCTTCAGGCCGATGTCTGCTGCCTTGCTGCCTGGCTCCACGGCATCAATAAAGATGGAGAAGCCTTTCTCCTGACCTCCGAGGAGGCTGAAGGCCAGAGGAGAGTCCCTGGACGGCTTGGTCAGTGTCACCAGCCGTGGCTTGGCTTTAGCAGCGCACGCTATATTTAACAGTCTGAGGTGCCCACACATTTTCTGAACAAAAAACAAGAACATTTTAACATTATAGAAATAAACACATCGATCTTTTTTTAAACAAATGGGGTGAATCTGTGTTCAGGTGCTTTGCTTACTTCTTTCTCCAGGTTGTTTTCAAACTCCTCAAGAAAATGGGTCATGGCGGGGTCGCCCTCAAAGTCGTTGAAGTGATTGTTTACCCACAGCAAGACTACACGTGTAACCTGCAGAAAGCACAGGTCAGCGTGCAGCGTTCTGCTTCACACGCTCACACAAACATGTCCAAACGTTCTGGCTAAATATAGAAAAGTGGCTACGTGTTAAGGCTTCACACTTTGATTTATTATTCTATAGTTTTATGAATGCTGAATCAAAACTCACAACCATTACTTCAACTACGTATTTAATGACAACGTTTATTCTGCTTACTTCATCTCAACTGCAGCTAGGCCTGTCACGATCACACATTTTGCTGGGCGAAGAAATTATTGCAACAATAATATTGTTTGAAATTTGACAATAATTAGTAATGTCAAATTTAAGAAGAAATGTTGGCTAATTTGTTTTGATTGTAGTACCTTTTTTGACCACTGTATGGCAGTACTGTTTGAACTGAAGGATGGATAGTGAGGGAGCGAGCAGTGTGTCTCTAAGAAAAATGGGAGGGAGGCCCCTTGACGTGACACGGGCTGTCTCTCCTTGTTTTTCAGTTCTCAAAATGGCGGTCACTCGGTGTGGTTTGAGCTCTTTAGCATTTTTCACAAAAAGTTTTTAATTAAAAAAAATCAGTAAACAAGTTCTCAGCTTCTTTTTGCAGAGAAAAACAACTTTTTACACGAAGGCACGAGTTTCAACCGTGAAGGCCTGTTAGCTTAGCTCGTAGCTCAGCTGCTTTTAACGATCCAAAAACATGATTTTGGATCGTTAAAACAGATTTTAAAGAGCAAAGAGAAAGGGCGGGGTCAGTGAAGAGCACCGGAGTTGAGCCTTTTGTCATCCAGTGTCTTCAGTAGAAAGAGAGAGACACAAAGAAATGATAAAGCCGATAAATTAAAATGAGGTTGATAATTTTCATTTATCATGTGATTAATTGATTTATCGTTTATTGTGACAGGCCTAACTGCAGCACAATAATCAGGGTGGATCAGGAGTTTTTGCCTGATTGAGGAGTACCCTCATACCTTGTCCCTGAGACTGGGGTCGTGAAACCACTCCAGGAGCTTTCTGCCAACGACCATGGGGCTGGAGAGGAAAGTCCTGTAGGTCAACAGGAAGTCCTCGATGTAGGTAGGGTCCACTACCGAGTGCTCCTCCACCAGGTGCATGGTGAGCCGCTCCGATGTGCCCTGGTGACATTACATTGTTTTAAAAAGACTTCCTTTTAGGATATTTTTAATGTCTGCAAATGAATGGCTGCTGATTTGTCACCTTGATGACAATGTGTCCTTTCCTGGTTCCGGTCCGGTCCAGTTCACGGTGTTCTTTCACCATAACGATCTCGCCTTCCTCCTCCACCTTCTGCATATTCTTCTCCACCTGGTTGAGGATGCAGCAGTAGTCCTGCTGGGCTATACATACAAACTGAAGAAATAAAAGACAACACAGAAAAAAAAACAAGCTTTAGCACATTTTGGAAATAAAATAAGAAATTATAGTTTTGCTACTTGATCAACCTTTAAGTGGAATTATAAAAAACAAAAAACATAATTTCTGGACAATAAGCTGCTACTTTTTATCCACACAGTTTGAACACCGGAGCTGTGGCTAATGTATGGATGTTTTTTTTTTTGACGGGCTAATAAGATTCCTGCCCCCAAAACATTTAGCTTCGTCACACCCAGGCGCTCACAAAGCTGCCTAGTACACATCTCTTGGGGGGCGGGTCCTCGTGACTCAATGAGACTACCTGTATAAATAAAGGTTAAACAAATCTGACCAATGAAATTACTGAACAGGTCACAGTGGACCAGGAGCTTTCTGCCAACGACCAAGGCCGCACCCTCCCCCCACCCCCATACGCAGAGCACGTGAGGGGGGACTCCCCTGCATGCGTAGAGCAACTTTTGCTCCACGGAGCACAAGCTTGCAGCAGGAGGAATAAGAAGATGGCGATCAATGTCTTCCTCGTAGGCTACTGTATTTTTTCAACAGCGAAAGAAAGACTGAGGATGAGTGCGATGAAGGTTTTCTGAGGCTGTTTAATTCTGACACTGAAGAAGACGACTGTCGTGGTTTTAGTGCACAGGAGGAAGATGAACATAGTGATCTGTGACTTTTCCTGGTAAGCTTCTGTATTTTTTTTTATTTTAACCAGCTGTGTTAAAGGCATTGTTCAGGAAAAAAAAAACATTTACAGGATGTGTGTGCATGTTACCAGTACATATTTAATTAAAAGTAAAAAAAAAAAACAATCTTCCTGTGTAAATATCTCATGTTACAACGTGAACACCTGCGGCTTAATATACGTACAAATTATTATTATTTATTTTATTTAGTGGGCACGGCTAATATTCAGGTGCGCTCTATAGAATGGAAATTACGGTATTGTAAGTATTTGTGTATTTTATCGATACGCATTTAATTAAAAGTTTTAAAAACTTTCTGTGTAAATATGTTACAATGTGGACACCCGCGGCTTATAAATGTACACATTTATTTATTTTTCTTCTTTCGGCTGCTCCTTCTTCGGGTCGCCACAGCGAACAAACTCGCACAAAGACTTGGAAGTTATTTTTACTCCAGATGTTCTTCCTGACGCAACCACGGACACCGAGCTACCACAGCCTCTGTGTGGAGCAGAGAGCTGCATCTAAGACACACGGAGGAGCAGATGGGGTTAAGGGCCTTGCTCAAGGGCCCAGAGTGGGGCGAATGTGGGTGGGGGCAGGTGTGGGTGCTTCACCTACTCCACTCACATTTTTATGTTGTCGGAACCGGGGCTTGAACCGGCTATCTTCCGATCACAGGCCCACCTTCTCTAACCTCTGCACCACCACTCCCCTATATATGTACAAATTATTATTGTTTATTAAATTTAATGGGTGCAGATTATACTCTGGTGCACTCAATGGTCCAGAAATTGTGGTAGAATCTAACTAAATTACAAAAAGCACTTGTGTTCTGGTCCAGGCCTGATGAACTTCACATATTTCAGTTTCCACTGTGAAGTCCATTAAACACGTGATGCAGAGTGTGATTTACGGTGTGCACAACACGGCTCGTTGTCTTTTCAAATGCCTCACATGTGATGATGCTGATGTCGCCGCAAGCAACATTTGGTGTCACAAGTGGGTGACAGCAGGGCTTCATAAGCTAAGATGACAGGACTCCTGCCATGTTTTCACACCGACGTGCAAAGGAAATGGACTCCTGAACACAAACATCAGTAAAAAGCAAATGGGACTCCCACCTGGCAGTCGTCCACCTTGGTCTTCATCACACCCTTCATGTACTCCTTCTCCATGGTTGGAGACACCCCAAAACTGTTCCCCATGCACAGGATCTCTGCCCGACCATCGGGGTAGGTCACCTCCACTGACCCGTTCAGGATCACTGACCATGAGTCCAGCTGGAGCGATGACACACAAACGCAGCAGTTAGAAGTTTAAAGAAAAAAATAACAACGAGGAAGTGAAAAACAGAACAAAATGCAAATCTGAGGAAAATAAAAGAGAAAAATCATTTAAATGTATTACAAAGTCAGAAAGGTTATTCCCCCCCCCCATCCCCCCCCCCCCACACAACCAAAAAAAAAAAAAAAAACAAAAACATACTCTCATGTCTAGATTTTTAAATAAAA